AAAAGAAATATTTTTCACTTTTTTTTTAAAAAAATTTTATAACAAAAAATCTAACTTCTCTATCTATTAAAAAAATTCTAAACACTTTATTTTGTGCATGCCTGTAAAATTTTAACAAGTCAGGAACTACTAAAAAGTAAGCTAATTACCAAAACTACTCAAGATAAACAAATTAATTGAAAAGAAATATGGACAAGGAAAAATAAGCCTAAACCTACATTTAACAATCTTCACCCTGGAGTTAAAAATGTAATTTTTTGATTTTTGATTTGCAATATCTAATATATATTGGATTTATAATTTTCTAATATTAATATTTTTCATCTATGGAATCCATATACCCAAATCATTTGTGAAGTGGCTAATTTTTACTTATTAATTACTTTTTTTTCTTGTTATACTTGCTACTATTCCTTTACCTCACAACAAATCAAAAAAGCCTAGAAAGAAAAATAAACTGATACACAAAGTATTAGCTTCTTTGGAAACTAATTTTACTCTAGTTCTGACTGATTATTATGAAAAAAATTATTGCTGAATATATTATGAAAAAAGTTATGGCTGAATATATAAACTATAAAGATCCTGATTTATATATGTAAAAATCCGAGCATCACCTCAAAGGAAAGAACATTTTAAGCAACAATGTATTGCATTAAATATAAAACCATTAGAATGTAGTAAATAAAAAATATTGATAATCAGAAATAAACACAGAAGGTAAAAATAAACAATCAGAATAATATAGTAAATTATTACTAAAGACATAATATATAAATAAAATTTATGAAAAACAATGATAACCAGAACAATGAAACAACAACTAGCACTGATAAAAGAACAATTAGCATTAGTGATATGATAACTATTAGCGCTAGTAAGAAGACAACCAGAATAAGATTTCTATGATAATGTAAAAAACTTAACATAAAAAAATTATACCAAATTATTAAATACTAGTTCCTATTTGTTTTCTCAATTTCTTTCATATTATCAATAGGTACTACCAGCTAACAAAAATTACAAATCATAATTTAAATACAAAAAAATTTAAGAAGTCCCTCTCCACTGAGCATACATACAGTAAATTGAAATATTCTACAACCAAAATATTATACTTCCTTGCTAACAACAAAGAATAATACTTAACTCTTTATAGATGTCAACTTCTCCAGAACTTCTGAATACAATCGAACAGTATTTGAGCAAGCATGATTATGTCACTTGGACCCATGAAAATCTTTTGAAATATTTATTATCTTTTAATGTAACAGATACATATGATTAATTTCATACTAAAAAAAAATAGAACTGAAGAAAAGCAGAGATACCGCTGAAGAACAAAATGAATTGTAAAAATAATAAACATGAAAACAATAGTAAACAACAATAAAAATAAAAATAGTGGCAAAAATAGGCATGTGAAATACAAACAAATGATTTAATAATTAATTGACAACATACAGAAGATCTTCTTTCCTAAATGGCTAAATCTCATTTTTTGCAAATTCTGCTGTAACAGAAATTTTATTGCAAATAAAAATGCCTCAGGATACTCTCAGGAGTCAGGATCAAAGTTATATACAAAATTTAAAGTTTCTAAAAAAAGGAAATAAATATTTAAAGAAGATTACATTTATATCAAATATAAATTTAAGCTAGTTCTAATGCTAAGAATTTAGGATCAATTGTGAATTTTTGGCTATTAGAATTTCCAAGAACTTAAAGTACAAAATTGTTTTGATGATTTAATTAGAACAAACATTATTGTTGAATACTTGGAATTTCAGTTCTATTTCATTTTTGGAAAAAAAAGAAAAATACAGAGCTGAATTCATGTATCATTTATGGGAGGTGATAAAGAAATTATGCCAAAAAACTTTGATTTTGAAATTATTTAATTATTTTTAATGGGAAACATGCACTTTTAATTAATTATTTATGGCAAGATTTTTATTAGTTTTACAAAAAAAACTAATCCGACTTAATTGTATATTAAACAAACAATGGTTAAATTTATTCTTTACTCCATCTCATACAAAGTGAAGCAATACCATTACTTTTAAGATGGTTCTTTATTATTCAAAAGATGTAACATCCTAAAAAAGGTAAACTTTATCAAAAATTCCATTCTGCACAAACATCAAAATCCAAGCCAAATCCATTTCAGTTAAAACTGTCATGAAAAGATGGCTAAAAAGAAACCTAATACAAATCAATAGCACTACCGGAACAAAGCTAACCTAAACTAGTAATCTATAAATACAATATATGCATATTTTAATTCATTGTATACCAGAATTTATGGAATGACACTGGTAGTTGTGAGTCAACTTTAAAAAAGTACTTTATAAATAAGGCTTCTATGGTTAAATTGGCAAAAAACCTTTTGTAGGTAAAACAAATAGGCAGAAAAGTCTTATTTGGGCAAAAGAACTAAAAGAATGAATGGTTTGAATTAAATGCATTTTTATGCATTGCTGTTGTTAAAAAGAATCATCGTATTTCTTTGTTTTAAAAAAATTTCAATTTCTGGTAAAGCAGATGAAAAGGTGATTAAAGAATATGAAAGATTACAAGAAGAAATATCTTTGAAACTTAATATGATTATGAGAACAGATCAATGTATTTTACTCAGATCTTTTTGTGACAATTTTATTTTGCTTAATTTTAACGTGTTCTTCAAGTCACATTTTTTTCTTTATATAAGACCTTGCTTTTTCCTTTTCTTTTCTTTTCATTACTCTTTCATCATTATAAAACATTTTCCTCTAACTTCTAAAATATCTATACTATTATGGTATTCTCATGTAATGAAAATCCTACTGAATAAATTCAAGAAATGATGAAATGTCAATGTATAAGATATATTGATAAATTAATAGTTTTACTTTAAATTTACTATAGGTTTTATAAGAATATTTTATATTATTGGTATTATTTTGATTTATTTTTAAATTTTATATTATATTTCATTCAGAAACTTTTTAATGTAATTCCTTTTATTATAAATAATGAGCTCTACCTTAATGCAGATGAGGAGCAGTATGAGAGTTTTAATGCAAAATGATAATAGGATTTGAATATTAATACTTTCATGATTGACAACAGGGAAGCCGACCTACTGGTGCTGTTGCTTTCACATTTAACTAAAACCTATTTCAAGCTTGCAAATGTCACTTCTAATACAATTTCAGCAGATTCTTCACATTTAATTTGATCATCATAATTCATGTAACCATAACCTTCTGCTTACATATTTCTTGCAATCATTTATTTTATAAACCTGAAAGAACTGATGTAACAATAAATAGATAATATACTAAACCTTACATATATATTTTACATGAAATAAATGAAAAAAAAATTTAATATTTTAAGTAAATTTCCTGATAGTTTATAACTAAAGAGAAAATATATAATAATCTAACTTTACTCTTTAAAGATTGAATATTATTAAAATAAAATAACATTTAATGTTGCATTACAAGTGATTTTAATAATGCTATTTAGTACTAATTTGTTATAGAAATTTATCTGTAAATTAATTTGACATAGTTATAAATAGTGTTCTGAAAGAGTCAGGTTATTGACTCAACTTGTAATTAGGGGTTAGGTTGGGTCACATGATTTGATGACCCATAAACTGATAAACTGCATGGACCTTCCAAGTCAGTTACTTTGGACAATAATTTATTAAAATTTAAATTTTTTTTATATTAAATACAACTTGATGGGCCAAACTGAGTCAGATTGAGTCTGAGTTATGACTTATACACTCAGGTTGAGTTTGAATACACCTCAAAACCTGACCTTTTAGAACACTAGTTATAAATTAAATTTACATTTATATTTATAATAAAAATGATTTATTAATAAATAGATTATTGCAGATTACAAATAAATTTACACAAATTACTTGGTTTTCGTTAATTCTTCTAAGTAATTTTGAGTATATACCAATATCTTTTTTAACACCATTTCCAATTCTATAATGTTACATATACTCTCTATTTCCATTCTTTGCAGCTTTTTTATGCCAGTAAAAATAAAGGTTTGAATCTAGTATTCTAGTACTAAGGAATACATTACTATAATGATAACTCATAACAACATTGTGCGACTGCTAAATTTTTCTTGGCTGCATCTTTCAAAATATTCAAAAGCTAATGAATCATTTCGTAAAGTTCCATATCCATAATTATAACAATAGCTGACAAAATATTAAATATTATGCCAATATATGATTTTGTTCAGAAATATTAATAAATAGTTTAAACGCCATCTTACTACTTCCAATTGTTTCAATTCCATAAAAATTAAAAATTCCAAGTAAAAAAAAAATTGCATAATCTTGATTAGAAAATCAAGAACTTTCTTTTTTAATGAATAACGATTTCTATTATTTAGCATTTCAAATATAAATTTTGTAATATTATTAACTATTACGCTTAAATCATTTTCTGGTAAAAATATTTTGGCTAATAATTTGATTACTTGTTGATGTCGCGAATTTCATTATTAACTTTATCGAATTTTTGGATAATCTGAGATAATTCCCCATGTGATGATTCTTCAATACTATTTAAAACTATATCTGATATTTTCATTTGTTATTTGATCAGTTTTCTTATCAACATTTTTATTTTTTTAATAAATCATTGCATTTAATCTTTCAACAACTTCTTAAATAGATGTCCGATTATCTGAGTAGTTGTCCCAGCATTATAAAAAAAAAATCAAAATTTCAATTATAAAATACCATTTTCATAAATAAATAAATAAAAAAATATCCAACAAACCAGTATAAAACTTAACATATTCAATAGGAAGTATCAGGAACAATGACCTTGTATAATTTGGAAGACTAAACTACAATCATATGACTCTCCTTTCACATAAAAAGGTGGTTTACCACATGATATTTCCCATAAAAGTACGCCCACACTGTATACGTCACTCTTCTCATTTAAAGAATAAGATCTATTACTGAACTTTTTCCATATAAGGAACTACATCAAATAAATCTTTTTTCTTTTTAGTCAATGCTTCAATTCTTTTTGACAATCCAAAATCGCCAATTTAATAGTATCTTGATTGACTAAAACATTATAAGAATGCTATAATAAGAAAATAAAATATAAATTGTTGACGTTAAGATAAAATAATATAATTGATGTAATAATTATTTCATCAATAAATTGAATGAATTACCAAATCACGATGTATTATGTCTTCATCATGCAAGCATGACACGGCACTAGCCAACTGAAAAGCAAGTTTAAGTTTAATTTCTCATGTAAGATTCTCGAAATTTTCTTTCAAATAATTGAAATAATTGTTAAGGGAACACCCATCAGCGTATTCCATTACTAAAAGATAATTTCTTAATGCTGTTACTTTGATCTCTAGAATAATAAAGAATTTATCACTTTAAATTGATTGTAATATAATAAAACACATTATTTTTTTAAAAAAAAATATTTTATTAATTAATTACCTTGATCTGAAATAGTAAACTTCATAAAAGCTAATAATGTTATTATGGAAAGTAACTTCACGTTGAAGTTCGATCTATTTAAATTATACATAAAATATAAATTATTTATTTACCAATACATATTTTATACCTCATGAACGAGCTCCTTGATAGTACCTTCATCAATATTAAGAGATTTTTAACGCAAAATATTGATACGAATTTTTCCATTTCGCACGATAAAACTTTTCCAAAGCCACCGCCCACCTATACCAATTTCTTGAATATTTTTGAAATATTTATATTCGTAATGTTTAATATGCTTTTTAGCAATAGCTTCATCAATCCACTTAAACAATTCATTCATTTCAGATATTTTGAATATGTATATAATATTGTTATGGAAAAGTTATATTTATTAAAGTACGAAAAAAAAAGAGAAAGTAACTTTTTTATTAATTAGCAAAGCATGATTACAAAGTGCATGCAGGTCAAAATCTGACTTCAATCACATGGGTGTGAATTAGTGAGGTAATCGTTTGCTGATCAGCTATCATTGCATATTTCAGTATTTCACGTATTAAACTCTATGGTGGAATTAAGAATCAAGTGTAGCACGTTCATTAATATTTTTAGGAAATGTTGATTTATAATCAATTTCGTATATTTCCTTGTTTTTTTGTTAGTAGTATTTATGAAAAAAACTTTTGTCTTGATGTTATGTTAATCTTCTTCGTTTTTACCATTTTGTTACGTATTACGACTATTACGTTCATCAATTGATAAGCTGCGGAAATCACCTGACTTTGTGTATTTTGGTGATTCTAAAAAAGGCCCGACGCGCACATGTAGGAATTGTAATAATAAATATAATAAATAATGGTGTAGGTCTCAAGTGTAGAATGTGTTTAGTATAAGACTAAATAATAATAAAAACCAAACCCAGAATTTCAAAAAATTTTTTACTGGGGTCAGCCGGATATTCATTTATATGACACAGCCCGTCAGCGCGATCATTAAACGAACTTAAATAAGAATATAAGAAATTTCCATTTAATATTTTATTTTGTTATACATTTTTGATCTTTTTGATTGGGTTAATAACCAAAATTAAAATTCCGTTTTTATTATATTATTTCAACGGTAATTTCATTCTATTTTGGTAAGTAAATACATGTACATTCGTTATATACTATAAAGAGACACTTTGTTTTACCTATTTAATCATATGTGATGAAGATCCCATTAAATTGCTTTATAACAAGAAATTATTTAAATCATTACGTTTTACATAAACAATAAATTATGTAACAAAAAATCCCTTTAACAAACAATACACAAAGACATATTTTATTTTTAAACATATTTGTACTATTATTATTGAAGAAATTTTCAATTAATCCGACAGTTTCATCGAATTCATTTATAAATATGATTAAAAGGATTAAGTAATCAAGAATTCAAGATATATATATAATAAAACATTTTATTAAAATGTATACATCATATAATACAAAAATTTTACTTGCACAATTTTCAAAATTTCATAATGCGAGAAATCATTATAATCATTACGATTATCATAATATCCAATCCCGTTCTTGCTCAAAATGATAATTCCAAATATGATCCAAGTCAGGATGTTTTCGAGTTTTTAGTAAATGGTTTGACACCACTTTTAATCATATTACTCTTTGATCGTTCCTCAAAAGATGGAAATCGATTTCAAATAATAAATATAATCGATGATTGTCTTATGGTACTCTTCGTGTTCGCTTTTCCACCATATTATAATTATATATATTATTCAACACAATCAAATTTGGAGAAAATTAAGTGGTTCTTATTTTCTCTTATTAATATAATCGGATTAATATGTAGTTTACAACCCTATAAGAAATATGTATACGGAAAGGATACGTTTTGTATACATTTTTTGTACGTTTCTATAGATTCCATATACAAATTCCGTATATTTAATAAGCAATTCATTTTTGAACATTTTTTAAAAAAACAAATGTATAAGAAATGTATACGGAAAAAATTAATCATGCGGAATGTATACGGAATTTTTAAACTTAATATTTTTAGACAAAAATCCCGTATCATAACACAAGATCACATGATTGTTTATTGTTTTGTTATGATACGTTTTTTGTTTTTATATAAACCCTTACTTTCAATACTTTGATGAGTTTGATCTTCCGATCTTCCTTTCTGTCTTTCTCTTTCTCTTGTCTTATTTTTGTTATTTTTTCTAAATTTTTCTTCTTTCTTCGTCACCCCCTTTTAAAAATAATTTTTTTTTTTCGTCACTCCTTTGA